GTGGTGTGCGGGCTCGCCTGCGGCTCCTGCGCCGTGACCACGGGCGCCATGACCACGTGTGCCTGCTGTGCCGGAGCACCCTCCCCAGCGTGCCAGTGGGCGTTGCGTAATGGGGGGGTCATAAATGGGGGGTGTCGCGGGTGGTCCGAAAAGGTACCCAAACGGTACCTAAACGAGCCCCCTGGGGCTCCAGAGGGGCCCGAAAGGGGCACGACAGGGGACCGCTTCTGACCCCCCCCATGTGTGACCCCCCCGTCAAGCCACGCCCAATGCCAGGGGAGTGCGCGCCCGCGGCGAAGAGCTCTTGCCCGCCGCACGGGCGATCAGGAAGACGACGGTGCGGTCCACGTGCTGGTGGAGGTGCTGAGGTTGGTGCTGGGCAGCGTGCCGGCAAGAAGAGGCACGAGCAGAGGTGCACGGCGATGGATCTGGTCTCTGATGCAGCTTGCGTCCGGCATGGTCTTCCTGACCTGCTCCTCGTGGGCGTTCTGGGGGGTCGGATACCAGCTCCTGCCTGGCCTCCTCCTGGGCTCTGCGCTTATCTGGCCGTCCTCGGCGCCATTGGCTGCCGCCTCCCTCTTTGCCGCCTCCTCCGCTGCCGCAGTGACCGTGGCGCGTTCCTCCTCCGCCTCGTATTGGTGCTGAGCGTGTTGGAGGGTTTCCTGTAGTGTGGGATCGGCGTCGCGGCCTCGCAAGCAATTGGTCGCCTGCTCAAAGAAGACCACGGCGGCTCCCTATTCTTGCCCCGACTTGGGCTTGCTGAGCTCATCGATGCGCACCTGCAGCCTGGCCAACTTCTCCTCCTGCTCTGTCAAAAGAGCCTGATCTTTGTCCAGCTTCTCTTGGGCCAGCTTGATGTCCTTCTGCTGCTGCTGCTGCTCGACTTGCTCCTTGGTGCGGTCCCGCTGGGCCTCGCACGTTTTTTTCTCCCGCACGGCCCTGCACTCTGAGAAGCATCGTGGGACGTCGCCGCCTGCGTTGACAGCCTCCTGCATCTCATCAACCTGCTTCTGAATGATGGTGTTGCTGTCGGTAACCAGCGGTGCGAGGTCGAGGTCCTCAGCTTGCTGCCGCCTCTCCTGGAGGTGGCCTCTGATCTTGCGGAGCTTAGCCTTGGCGGCGCCCTCGCTCTCCGAGGTGTTGCTGCTGTTGTTGCCGTCGCCCTGGGACTTCGCGCCGTCCTTGAGCTTCCCGCACTTCCAGCAGGAGTCGTAGCCCTCCCCGTTCTGAGACTCGCAGCTGCCGCAAGTCCACCTCATGCGCGAGTGGGTTCTGGGGGCCATCCGGCCCGCGAGGGCAATGCCACTTCGAAGTTGGCCCTCGCTTCACCGTGCGCCGCCTCTCTGCAGGCCAAGGGCGGGCTCGGCGCGAAATGGCTGAGAAGTGGAGGAGGCGGATGATGATGAGTAGGAGGAGGAGGAGGAGGAGGAGGAGGAGGAGGAGGAGGAGGAGGAGGAGCAGGAGGAGGAGGAGGAGGAGGAGGAGGAGGAGGAGGAGGAGGAGGAGGAGGAGGAGAGAGAAGGAAGGAAGAGGAGGAGGAAGGGAGGAGAGAACGAAAAGGAATGGAGTGCCCAAAGGGGGGAGTGCACAGCACGAAAGGTTCACACAGCCGAGCTATCTGCCACAAGACTTCACCCCTGCTGGGCCATGGGCCTCTCAGAAGCGCAACCCGTGGACGCCGAGGAGCGCCGCGGACACCGGACCCGCAGGGCGCAGGCCGCCGAGCAGACTCTGGTGAGCACGCGCCTGGCGGCCCTCGCCGCACACGCGCCCACGCGGCCGTCCTCGGGGTGGGATGAAGTCGGGCCTGTCCCTCTACCGGGGGGAACATTCAATAACAGTCAAAAAATAGGCCGGGGACTATTTTGCGGAGTATATCTGGGCATCTCTGGAGTTTTTTGGGGGGTATGTTTAATTTTTCGTCCAAAATCCCCCTGTAGGGGGGCACGCCCGACTTAAGGGTAGGGGCATGCACCCCGTCGCGCCCATCGAGGAGACGCACGTGGTCGCCATCGCGGAGACCCGCGACCGGCCGCGGGGGCCCGTCACCGGCCAACTCGGCAGCCAAGGCCGTGGACGCCTCGGGGCCGCTGGGCGAGCACAGGCCGCAGGTGCTTGCCCTCGCCTTGCGCCGCGTGGCCAGCCGCAGCGGCCCCCGCCGCCGTCGCCCGCGCAGCCTGGCGCACCCAAAGCGGGGCACGCAGTGGCCGAGGCCCTGGGCACAGGTGGAGGGCTTCTCCGCAGGGCGTGGGCGACCCGTCCTCCTCCTCCTCCTCCTCCTCCTCCTCCTCCTCCTCCTCCTCCTCCTCCTCCTCCTCCTCCTCGGGTCGCCTACGGCCCCGGGGGAAACCGTGCAGGCAAAGGGCAGGCACGGCATCACCTAAGCGGTGACTGGCAGTGGTGTTGGTGCACCTTGCGCGTGCCCGTGACCCGGTTGCCGGGTCTTGCCACTGCGAAGCAGTCTCATGGGCTCCAGGGAAGACCCTCCGGCCTCAGCGCCAGCAGGCGGGTCGCACGTGCGCCAGCGCAGGTGCGCACGCAGTCTTCCCCAACTCCTGCGCCTCCTACGCCTCACCAAGACTTCCCTGCTGCAGACGAGGGTAGGGCGACAGCAAGGGAGACGGCGACGACGACGACGACGACGACGACGACGACGACGACGACGCCAGAGGCGGCGGCAGCAGCGGCGGCGGCACCGGCGGCAGCCGCATCGGCGACGGCGGCAGCGCAACCAGACCGCGCCGACGCCGACGACGCCGACGACGCCAGCGACGCCGACGCCGATGCCGACGCCGATATCGACGACGACGCCGACGACGCCGACGACGCCGACGACGCTGACGCCGACGCCAACACCGACACTGACGCCGACGCCGACGTCGACAACGACGACGACGTCGACGCCTACGACTCCGACGCCAACGCCGATGCCTACGACTCCGACGCCGACGCCGACGCCGACGCAAACGACGCCGACGCAAACGACGACGACGACGACGACGACGACACCGATGACAGCAAAGGCGGCGCAGGCGACCCAGACGACGACGACGCCGACCCGCAATGGAAGCTTGCACATCTCGGGCTTGCCCGAGATGCTGAGCTTACCAGTTTGAAACATGTCCCTACCCCTATGTTTAACATCACCTCATCTCGATGCCGATCTTAAGGATTCCCTCAGTTTCTGAGGGCCTATCCCTAAGATTGTCCTCGCATTTTGCTCGCCCATCTTAGGGATAGGGATAAGTTCGAGGCTGGTTATGAGCTTCCACTGCGGGGGCCAGAAGCTGACCCCACCTCCGCCCGCGAGGGGGCGGATCAGCACGCCAATCCGCAAACGCCGTTCGCCACGCGGTGCCGCACGGTGGGCCGCCGCCAGCTGTCAGACCTCCTCCCCGGTGGGGGCCCTGCCGTCGGCGCGGGCAGGCAGGTCTCGCCGGAGGCGCTCGCTGTGGCCCTCCCTGGGGGTCGGGAGCGCAGTCGGCCAAAGCGCGCTGGGAGCGTCGCGGGGTGCCTGCAGGCAGCGGCGCTGCATGGCGACGACGCCAGCGTCGCCGCCCGCTCCCGCGCTTCGCCGGCGAGCCTCCGCAGCGGGCCAGGAGGAAGAGGAGGAGGAGGAGGAGGAGGAGGAGGAGGAGGAGGAGGAGGAGGAGGAGGGAGAAGAAGGAGCAAGAGGAGGAGGAAGAGGAGGACGAGAATGAGAAGGGAGTAGGAGGAGGAGGAGGAGGAGGAGGAGAAAGAGGAGGAGGAGGAGGAGGGAGGAGGAGGGAGGAGGAAGGACAGAGAGTAGGAGGAGAGAGGAAAGAGGAGGGAGGAGGGAGGAAGGAGAAGGATGGGGAGGAGGAGGAAGAGGAGGAGGAGGACCATTGTATACCCAAGACGCACCAACGATGTTGCAATAAACCGTTCCTGAAAGTTCCTTCTTCATATACCCCTACAAGAATTTGTTTTCTTTGCGGGAAGTGCCCCATTGAAAGACAACCGTCTATGGATTCTCAATGTTGCAAAAAGCATAATCGCGGGACTTGCATGCCGCGCATCAGCGTGACGGTTGCGTCTTGACAGCCCTAAATAGCGCCAGAACGAATTCTTGCGACGTCAACACCGCGAGTCAATGTGAATATTGCGGCCGTCCAACCCGAAATCGTGCCAGAACACACCGCTACCGTGACTTCACACCGCGACGCAAAATGATTGTTGGAATGTTTTTCGACGAATGTGCGCGGCGCGAAGGCGAGAGCCACATGGTAAAACCAACCGCTCTCCATCCGTGAAACTGCTACAAAATTTTAAAAAAAAAAAAAAAAAAAAAAAAAAAAAAAAAAAAAAAAAAAAAAAAAAAAAAAAAAAAAAAACGAATGTGCGCGCGCCACGGCGAGAGCCACATGTTGGAAACCACCCGCCATCCATTTTTTGAAATTGATACAATCGAATGCGCGCGGCGCTAAGGCGATAGCCACATAAAAAAACAGCCGCTTTCCATCCTTGAAGCTTGATTGCAGTCTTCAAATCTCAGGACCATAGATGGTGGCGAAATATGAAGGGGGAACGCCCGGCCCGTTCTACCGACACGTATGCGGTTGAGACAGGAATGAGTTGTTCAGAAGGTAGAGGGATGCAGGAGATGAGAAGAAAGAGGAGGAGGAGGAGGAGGAGGAGGAGGAGGAGGAGGGTGAAGGGGGGGAGACGGAGGGGAAAGGCAGGATAACGGAAAAAGAAGGAGGGGGAGGAGGGAGGAGAAGGAGGAAGAGGAGGAGGATGAAGAGGAGGAGCTGGACGAGCGGAGAGGAGGAAGAGGAAGGAGGAATAAGGAGGACGATGGGGAGGAGGAGGAGGAGGAGGAGGAGAAGGAGGAGGATGAGGAGCAGCAGCCGGATGGAGGGGGAGGAGGGGGAGAAGGAGGAGGAAGAGGAGAAGGAGGGGGAGTCAACGACGACGACGACGACGACGACGACGACGACGACGGCGGCTGCGGCGTCGTTGGCGGCGGCGGTGCGCAGGTCCTGTTGAAGGCAGCCGTGTGGTCGAGCCTGTACCCGCCGTCGCCCAGACGCATGGACGAGCTCAGGAGCTTGGCCTCGCCGGAAGGCACCGAGGGCGGTGGAGGAGGAGGCAAAGGACCAAGGAGGAGGAGAAGGAACGGAGGAAGAGGAGGAGGCAGGAGGAGGAGGAGGAGGAGGAAGAAGAAGGAGGAGGAACGGAGGAGGACGAGGATGAGGAGGAGGAGGAGGAGGAGAAGTCAAGGAGGAGGAGGAGGAAGAGGATGCAACGGACCAAGAAGGAGGGGAACGAAGGAGGAGGAGGAGGAGGAGGAGGAGGAGGAAGGAGGAAGAGGAGGGGGAGGAGGGAGGAGGATGAGGAGGAGGAGTGAGGAGGAGGAGGAGGAGAGGAGGAGGAGGGAGAGGAGGAGGAGGAGGAGGAGGAGGAGGAGGAGGAGGAGAGGAGGAGGAGGAGGGGTCGTCGGCAGGCACGCCCACCAGGGCCGAGCGGCGGAGGACCGAGTCGTGCATGCACATCCCGACGACGCCCGACTGCGTCCCGGCTGTGCAGCTGCGCCGGTCGCACGGGCGCCCCGAGCCCGGCTGCGCGTGCGGCGTGTGGCGGCTGTTCTCGGGCCGCAGGGGCTGAGCGCTGGAAAGGATGAGGAGGCGGGGAGAAGGAGAGAGCGAGGAGGGAGGCATGGGGGGAGAGGGAGGCGGGAGGAGGGAGGAGGGAGGCGGGAGGAGGTAAGAGGGAGGGGGGAGTTGGGAGTAGGAGGAGGAGGCAGGAGGAGGAGGAGGAGGAGGAGGAGGAAGAGGCAGGAGGGGGGAGGAGGAGGAGGAGGAGGGAGGAGGAGGAGGAGGAGAGAGGAGGAGGAGGAGGAGGAGGAGGAGGAGGAGAGGAGGAGGAGGAGGAGGAGGAGGAGCAGGAGTTGGGAGGTGGGAGGGAGGCTCTTTCTGGCGGCACGGTACCGCACAGTCTTCTTCGGGCCGCCGCTGGGCACCCGTGCCCCGCCCACCCGTGCCTCCCGAGACAGCAAGCGCTCGGACGGTCACGGCGGGGCAGACACAGCGCCCGCGGCGCTGCCCGGGAGGACCCCCGGGGCCGAGACAGCTTTTGCGGGGTCGGCGCAGGCCGGCCGAGGGGCAGACCTCTCCCGCGCTGTTGCTGCTGCTGCTGATGGTGATGATGACGATGATGATGATGATGATGATGATGATGATGATGATGATGATGATGATGATGATGATGATGATGATGATGCTGATGCTGATGCTGATGCTGATGATGACGATGACGATGACGATGACGATGATGATGATGATGATGATGATGATGATGATGATGATGATGATGATGGAGATGGTGACAAGAATGGCGATGGCGATGGCGATGGGGATGGGGATGGGGATGGGGATGGTGATGATGATGATGATGATGATGATACTGATAATGCTGATTGAGATGATGCTGATGATGAGAATGATAATAATGATGCTGATAATGATGACGATAGTGATGGGTTAGGGGTGGGGATGGGGATAAGGATGGTGATGATGATGCTGATCATGTTTGTGATGATGCTGATGATGCTGATGATGGTGATGGGGTTGGGGATGGGGATGGGGATGGTGGTGGGAATGATGGTGATGATGCTGATGCTGATGATGGTTATGATGACGGGGATGAGGATGAGGATGATAATGGGGATGGCGATGGGAATTGGGATGGAGATGATGATGGTGATGATGATGATGGTGTGGGTGATGCTGATCGGGAAAGTCATTGGGATGAGGATGTGAATGGGTATGGGGATGGGGATGACGATAAGTGTGATGATGATGGTGATGATGGTGATGGTGACGGGTCTGGGAATGGGGATGGGATGTTGATGGGGTTCATGACCTTGATGATGATGATGATGATGATGATGATGATGGTGATGGTGATGATGATGGGGATGGAAATGGGGTTGGGGATGGGGATGGGCATGATGATTCTGATGACGTTGATGCTGATGACGCTGATGCTGATGGCGATGATGATGGGGATGGGGATTGGGAGGAGAATGGGGATGGGGATGAGGATGAGAATGATGATGGCGATGCTGAGATGATGATGATGATGATGATGATGATGATGATAATGATGGTGATGGTGATGGGGATGGGGAAGGGAGTGGGCATGGGGATGGGGACGGGGATGATCATGATGACGGTGATGGTGATGATGCTGATGATGTTGGTGACGGTGACGGTGATGATGATGATGATGATGCTGATGGTGATGGTGATCGTGATGATGGTGGTGTCGGTGATGGTGTTGGGTATGGGAATGGGCATGGGGATGGGGATGGGGATGATCATGATTATTATGATAATGATGGTGATGATGGGGATGTGAATGGGGATGGGGATGGGGATGGGGATGATGATGATGATGATGATGATGGTGGTGGAGATGGTGATGGTGATGATGATGAGGACGGGAATGTGGATGGGGATGATGATGACGATGATGATGATGTTGGTGACGATTTTGATCTTGGAGATGATGATGATGATGATGAAGATGAAGATGATGATGGTGATGATAATGATGACCCGGATGCTGACGACGATGCTGCTGATGATGATGATGGTGATTCGGGCGGGTGGTAATGGCGCTGACCCAAATGGGGGGTGAAGAAAAAGGTACCAAGTGATCTTTCAGGGCTCTTTTATGGCACCAGCTGGCTCCCAAAGTTTCCCTGACGCGCCTCTTTAGTGCGCTTTTCTTCACCCCCCATTTGGGCAACCCCCCTACCACCCGCCCGAGTGATGGGGATGGGGATGGGGATGGTGATAGTGATTGTGGTGATGATGATTGTGGTGGCGATGATGGTGATTGCAAAGATGCTGATGGTGATGATGATGAAGATGATGATGATGATGATGATGATGATGATGATGATGATGATGATGATGATGATGATGATGCGGGTGATGATGATGCTGATGGTGGTGATGAGGAAGGTGATGGTGATGATGCTGCTGATGATGATGATGGTGATGTTGATGATACGAATGGTGATGCTTATGATGATGGTGATGTTGATGTTGATGATGATGATGATGGTGGTAGTGGTGATGATGATGGCGATGATGGCGTTTGGTGACGATGGTGATGGTGATGTTGATGATGGTGATTGTGATTGTGATGGTGATGGTAATAGAGATGAGGCTGATGGTGATGATCAAATGATTGAAATACGGGTGGTGATGATAGTGGTGGTGATGACGATGATGATGCTAATGATGCTGACGCCGACGCCGACAACGACGAAGACGACGATTACGATGATGATTATGATTGGAACGGTGGTGGTGGTCATCATCATCATCATCACTACCATCATCACCATCAGAGCCGTCCGCATCATCATCACCATCATCATCATCATCATCATCATCATCGTCGTCATCATCGTAAGCATCATAAGCATCATCATTATCACCATCATCACCATCTCAACCGCCATCATCTTCGACAGCACCAGCATCATCATCGTCATCCAGAACACTCCGCGGGGCGCCCCCCCTGGCGCCGCGGGCAGATGCCGCGCGCCCAGGGGCCGCCCTTGCACGGCGGGCGCCCGCTGCACAGAGAGGTCCACAGGGCTGGCGGGCGCCACGGACCCCCGGGGTGCGCCCGCGGCGAGGCGGTGCCCGCGGGCGTGGCCCGGCTGGGGCGCGGCGAGCAGGGGCAACGACAGGGGGCGGGGGTGCATCGGGGGGATCAGAGAAGGGAAAGGTACCCATACCTCTACCCCCTCACCCGTTTTCCCCTTTTGGGGCCTCTTTGGAGGCCCTCATCGCCACCGCTGGATTCGCCTCGAAATCCTGGTCAGAACGCAACCTGGGAGAGGTCCAGTGGGTAGCGGTATCGTTGCCTTTTGGTTTCCCCAGGGGACGCGTCGACCCCCGATCGTCAGTTCATCACTGGTAGAGTCAAGCCACGTGGCAAGGATGGGCAACCTTCCCTAGGGTACCCTTGCCTCCTCCTTGCCTCCTCGATCCCTCCTTGGCCACCTTTGTTGGCCGCGGTCTGCGCGGAAAGTGTCGGCATGGCCCTCCAAGGCCCTTGCATTCTTATCGCGCATCCTTATGATACGGGCCGGCTGTAGGGGGCCGATAGCCCACCCCACCTGGGAAGTTATCGGGCGATAGGCCGATTTCCAGGTTGATGTTTCCCCCCCTCTGCCAGTCCTTCCCTATCGTTGTCCTGCAAGTGCGCAGAAAGCAGGGGCGGCCTAACCGACCCCTAGCAAACCATCCCCTTCTGCGACCTCTTCCTCGCCTCACCCCAAGGCGTATGCATGCTGCCAGAGGAAAGCTGGGAAGGCGACGACGACGTTACGGAAAGTGCTGGTAACGGTATGGGCCGCTTGGGCCGCGTACGATGAGAGCACGGGCAACGTTAAGGGGGGATCGGTCAGGAATTGTGGCTCAGCGTGTCGCTCCGCCGATGCTGGCCCACCAAGCTTCGGCGCAGCACGTGATCCACGTCTTGACACGGCATCAGCGTCCCGATTCTTTCCCGGCGTCCCGCCCTGCGGAACGGAGGGGCACGCTGTCCGCTCGCAGGGCACAGCGTGTCTCTCCGGGACCGCCGCCGCGGCACGATGCGCACAAGTTCCCGGCCGCAGCTTCCCAGGGTGATCGGCTGTTTTCGGCAGTTCACGGAGCTTCCCGCAGCCCAGGATGGTTTCAATCAGCCGCGCCTCTTCGAGGGCGTTCTGGGGGTGCCTGGATCGCCCCGAACAGCCGACGGAGATCTGAAACATGGCTCGAACACCATCGGGGACGGTGATAGTCACCACCCGCCAAACCACCCCGACCCAACCCGAAGGCTTCAGTGTGCCCTCCATTTCCAGTGTGGGGGGGGTCGGGGGACATTGTAAAAACACATGGAGCCCGTACCCCCACCAACCCGAAACTCGGGTTAAATTCGAATCTTCGGGTTGGGTTGGTGTGGCATGGGGCCTATCTCGCCGATCTACGATCGACGATGCAGTGGAGACCCACGCCAAGGGACGCCCTGCTCGCCTCCACAGCGCCATGGGCCCTTGGGAGCCGCTGGTCCTGCCATGGAGAGCGCGACGCTCCCGCGCCACAGATCGGTGGGCGTCCTGGGGTCTGGGTTTCCTGTGGAAGGTTTCTCGTGGAAGGTGTCCTCCTGGATCGACGATACATCGCCGATTTGAGGCGTTCCAAGAAAGGCCTTGCCTTCGGGGATCGAGACAGTTGTCATCTCTTCCTCGGCGGAAGGCGGAAGGCCGGCGGAAGTAGACCGAGGCCGCCTCCGCAGGCGGAAGCTGGCGGAAGGCTGGCGGAAGCTGGCGGAAGTGAAAGATGCGCCCCCAAGAGATGCAAACGTTTTTGGGGTTCAGGGTTTCCGAAATCGCCCAGGTCAATGTCCCCCCCCCCGCTGAGCCGATCCCCATGATCCGGGCCGAGCGAAAGGGGGGGTTAGGGAAAGGGGGGGGGTACGAAATCAGCTGCGTGCAGCTGCTTTCGGCCCCGCCGCCCGGCCCACTCCTCGACACATGGGCGCCTCCCAGCGCCGGGAGGCGCTGGGAAAATCAGCTACGTGAGCTCTCTGCCCTA